AAGGAAAGCAGACAGTACACTTATGAATGTCGTCTAAATAATTATTATTGCATAACCATTTTTTTCAAGTTACAACTAACTGCTGTATTTTTCTAGATTTTTTTGTTCATTGCATTAAAACAATTAACAACTATTTTTGTTTTGTTTCTTTTTGTTAGTCGTATTTTGAATCATTATAAATACAATACAAATATAATCTAATACTCTCCTAACCTTATACAAGTATGTGCTAAAAGTGGTGTACTCTTCCTATTCTTAAACTGATAGTATAAGAAATTTGTTTAAATTTGGGTTCTTGTGGTGGGCTTGTCTTTATGGTCTCTCATCGATCCATTCGCTCTAACACTCTCGATAAACATATAGACATTCAGGATAACCAGATAATATATATAAGAATTTCTCACCAACTAAACCAAGCCTTGTGCTAAATTATTCTCAACAATTATATTCTGTAATTCTCCTTCAACATCAACAGCCATATACAATATTTATAGCTTATGTATACTTGGAGGGCAAGGCCAAGATACACCACAATATTCTCTACGATATCTTTTCACCATATACAATATTATCATGTATAACAAAATATATTCACCTAACAAAATATATTCACCAAATATATCCATAATATCTCAGTACCACCCCCCCCCCCAACCCCTCAAGTGGGAGCGTACGGATCCCGGACACCAAACTTGCGAAGTAAATCCTCGAACTTGACTTTACCCAAAGCCTTCGTAAAAATGTCATCTAGTTGAACAATTGTAGACACATATGACGGCTTAATAGTACCATCAGTAATCACATCTCTCACAAAATGGCAGTCGGCTTCTATATGCTTGGTCCGTTCATGAAATACGGGATTTTGAGCAATGTATAGAGCTGACTGACTAGCACAATAAAGGTGCATCCCATTCTCATGTCGTACACCTAAATCCCCAAGCAAGCGCTTCAACCACTTCAACTCATAGGTGACAGCTGCCATAGATCGATGTTCTGCTTCTGCTGATGAACGAGAAACAGTAGGTTGTTTCTTGGTCTTCCATGATTACTGGTGAGAAACCAAGAAGCATAAACCAATCCGTCAAAGATCGCCTAGATAGAGGACAACTCGCCCAATCTGAGTCTCACCAACCTTCTAACCATAAAGAACTGTCGGATCTCAATAAAATTCCATGTCCCGGGCTCTTCTTCAGATATCTAACGACTCTCAGAGCTGCTTCCCAATGATCAATCCTGGGATTTTGCATAAACTATGATAAAATATGTACAGAGTATGCTAAATCTGGTCTTGTAATAGACAAATAAATCAGTCGGCCTATGAGACGACGATATCTCTCTACACCATGAAAGTACTCACCCTGTGCCAAAGCCAACCTGTGATTTTGTTCCATAAGGAACTCTGCAGGTTTGGCATCTAGTAAACCGGCCTCAATAATAATATCCAACGCATATTTCCTCTGACAAATGACAAATAAAAAATTCCCTGTACATTCCGGGCTACCTCTAGCCCCAAAAAATATTTCAACATTCCAAGATCTTTCATCTTAAAGCAATTTCCCAGATATGATTTAAATTTAATCATAGAAAATTTATCGTTGCCTGCAATAATTAAAATCATCGACATATACTAATACATTGAGCTGCATTTTTCCCTTTGTCAGAGTAAATAAAGAATAATCATATAGTACGACTATTTAAAGCCATAAGATTTCAAAGTTGTAGCTAGCTTTGCAAACCAACACTTGGGAGCTTGTTTGAGACCATATAATGATTTTTTCACCCTGCAAACTTTGTCAAAATTATTATTTTAAAAACCAGAAGGAATTTTCATGTATATCTCTTCCTCCAAATCTCCATGAAGAAAGGCATATGGACATTCATTTGATGAACATTCCAATTTTTCACCACCGCAACTGCAAGAAAGGTTCGAATTGTCGCCATTTTTGCTATTGGAGCAAACGTCTCATTGTAGTCTAGTCCTTCAACCTAATGATGGCTGAATATAACTAGCCTCGCCTTTAACCTCTGCAAATTTCCATGCTCATCGTATTTTTCTTTGTACACCCACTTGCTCCCGAGTGCCTTTTTAAAGCGTGATAATTTTTCTAGCACCCAAGTGCCCTGTTTTCGAGTGCTTGTATCTCATCTGCCATAGCTTTTCTCCAACCCTCGTGTTTCATGGCTTCTTTGAAACTCTTGGATTCATTCCCTCCTGTAATAGCAGCAATATAGTTTCTATGCTTCATGAAAAATCGGTGAGAATCAATAAAATGTGTTATAGGGTAAACAGTACTTGAGGTAAGTGATGACGCAGGTGAACTCTGAGTTGATGTAGATGGACTTATATTTCGGATTGTGTGTGTCACATAGTCACGGAGTTTCACGGAAGGAATCTTCGCTCTCATGCCTTTACCCAAGGCATCATTACTAACTGTTGTGTTGCTCCCCCCTTCATGCTGCCCACTGTGTTGATCCGTGTGGGCAAGAGTAATATGTTGGCCAACCCCCTCCTGCGAGCTGCCGCAAGGATCAGCAGCACCAGCGCCCGCTGGAGAGGCCTCGGCCTGCCCACTGTGTTGCTCCTCCGCGACCTGGTCGCGGGCTGTGGCTTCCTGCCGCAGGGGGTTGCGGAGCTCCCTACCTCCCTCTCAATTCCCACATCACAATGGCTGCCCTCACTCACGCACTCTCCTTCAACCTCAACAAAATAGGCGAGAGAAAACATCAACATATTTTGAATGTTGCTAGAGCTTTACGGTTTCAAGCAAATTTGCCTTTAAAATTTTGGGGGGAGTGTGTGCAAGCGGCATGTCATTTAATTAATAAAACCCCTTCTCAATTGCATGATTATAAAACCCCTTTTGACATGTTATTTGACAAACCACCTTCATATGAGTATATTCGAGTGTTTGGGTGCTTGTGTTATGCTTATAATCAAAGAAGTAAGGGAAATAAATTTGCTAGTCGAAGTCGGAAATGTATGTTCATAGGATATCCTTTCGGAAAAAAGGGATGGAAAGTGTATGACTTGGAAACCCGGGAAATATTTGTGTCGAGGGATGTGAAATTTTGTGAGACCGAATTTCCCTTCATAACTCCTAGTGTTGATGAGAAAATGGTGTATGAGCCTTGTGTAGATGCGGGGTCGGTGATGATGAATGGTATTTGGAGGGCAAGGCCAAGATATACCACGATATTCTCTACGATATCTTTTCACCGTATACAATACTATCATGTATAACAAAATATATTCACCTAACAAAATATTCACCAAATATATCTCATAACATCTCAATACCTTGCTAGGTTAGATGATTTATCTAAATGAATGTTTTTATATATCAGCTGTTATACAATATTTGTAATGAATGGATTTATAGAGATTTTAAAGGTTAATTGTACATTAGCAAGAGTGTCAATCAAAGTATTGCATTTAAACTGAAACCATGGTAGTAAGTTATTTTATTATACACGGTTACTTAATTCGTCATATGATTGGTTATGTATTGTGATTATTTTTGTAGGGCTAATACGCAAGGATAATTATCTTTAAACACGTCATATACACAATGTAATGTACACATTATTATCATCCCAACTCCCCAAGTCATCTATCACAAACCTTCCTAAGCTCTATAAAAATAAAATAAAAAATTCATGCACTTAAGAGTATACCCAGCCATTAATCCAGTAGGTGATACAGTAATCTATAAATTATTCAGCAACTTTTTGGTGCAGCAGGTCACATCGTGTGGCAGGGGTTACCCGAGTTATTTTGTTAGGGGTTACCCGAGTTATTCAGTCAGGGGTTACTCGAGTTACTCGGTCAGGGGTTACTTGAGGGGTTTGGACAGGATTACTCGAAGGGTTCACTCGGTCAAGGGTTACTTGAGTGGTTAATCGGTCAGGAATTACTCGAGTTACTCGGTCAAGGGTTATTCGGTCATGGGTTACTCGAGTTACTCGGTCAGAGGTTACTCGAGTCACTCAGTTAGGAGTTCTTTAAGGAGTTCGGTTAGGGGTTACTCGATTAATTCGGTCTGAGTTACTTAAGGAGTTCGATCAGGAGTTACTCGGTTGGGGGTTACTTGAGGGTTCAGTCAAGGTAAGGGGTACTCAATTAGGGGTTTACTTGAAGGGTTATTCGGTCAGGGGTTCGGTCATGGATTACTCGAGGGGTTACTTGGTCAGAGGTTACTTGAGGGGTTACTCGGTCAGGAGCATCTCAAGTAACCCCTGACCGAGTAACTCGAGTAACCCCGACAACTCGAGTAACCCCTGCCGCACGGTACAACATGCCGCATACAAAAAATTGTGTAAATTATTAATATTTTGCAATGTAAGGCTCAAACCCTTGGAAGATTTAGCTGCTTATGAATGTCAAAGAAGTTGCTTGCCTTCTCCATTAAATCTTGTTCTTGTTATATTCACAAAGAAGCAAATCGCACATAATACACAAAGTTATTGATCCGTTTGTTGATAGAAAATTCTCTCTTTTTTTTTCTTTAGACAAGGTAGTCTACAATTTATAGAGAAGATTGTTCTAACCTTCTTGTGTACCTTTCCATTTAAAAAAAAAAAAAAAAAAAAAAAAAAAAAAAAAAAAAAAAAAAAAAATCCTCTAATGTTGATGATACGCTTATAGCTCCCTTAGGCTTTTTACTAGTGATTACTCTCAGTTTATAACCCCGGCCTCAAACTCACAACAAAGAGTTCATTCACAAATCACAATTGTGCCCAAAATACTTGTAATGACTTGTGGTCGCCCTTCGCACATATAACCGGCCTTAGTCACGAATTATCGTTGTTTATTGTTAATATTCATTTGGCGTACCATGCACATCAAACTACTAAAGTGCCAAAGCTTAGAGCCTTAGACACCCGACTTAGGTACAAGACAAACAAAACATGAAATCACTTCTTGAATCGGATTAGATAAACAGATAAACTCCACAACAAGCTTTTGATAGAATGCAAGGCACTCGTAGAAAAAACAAAGACAACAAATATCCAAACCTTGATTTTTGGATTTCAATTTTGAATTGGCCACAATGGGCATTTTCAAATATTCGTCATAGTATCACTAGGCTTTCCGATAATTCACATTTTCCGCAACATTTACAAAGAACCCTGACATCATTTTATGATGTCCTCAAAAGATTGACATGAAAACCATGGGAGGAGAAGTGAGAAAGAGGGGGGGAGAGCTTAATAGCCTAAAGCACTCGAGTTTCACATTTACAATTTGCTTGAGTGCCGCCCTACATATTTAAGGAGTAGAAAACCAGTATGATAACTAGCAGGAAGTTGGTAGCGAAATCTAGATGATGCTATGTAGAGAATCAACAAGTCGTATGCAGTTGATACCTCTTGCTTTGTTGGAGTAAAATCGTCTGAAGTCAGACATTGGTTAAATCTCGTCAATGTTGATAGCTCAGACCTGAAACCAGAAAGGAAATTTAGCAACTAACACATGCAGTTCAGTCTATTAGCATAAATTAAGAGCATAGTCAGTTGTAATTAATCAGTTAACAGAGGCGATAGCAGAGTAAATCTCTTTATTATGATAGCCATCCCAGGACAACATATCAAAGAGAGCAACTTAAATTTGGTATTCATTATATCAATTTAGCGAGGTATCACATAAGATAAGATGAGGAGAGACGAGGGGAGAGGGAAAGGAGAGCAGATGCAACTGTTTCAGGTCTTTTTCTTGCTGATAGTCTTTAAGGAAAGACACGAGGGACAAAGAAATCAAAGCTGATAACAGAAGGGTGATTGGAAAAACTCAGCAATGGTTGCTAAATGTCTAACTACGAAGAATTAGACAACAGCGCACTTCTACATCCCTAACAGTTAACGAGACTACAAAATGGATTAATTATCTTTCTGCAGCAGTTCCCTCAACAATGCTGGAAAGAAGTCGATCATCAACAGATTTGACTTCAATAATTATAGCTATAATAAGAAGTCTCTTGCTCAAGTATCCTGTAAAACTAGGAATATCCCTCCACTTGCACTTAGGGCATAAAACGACATAAACTGGTATAGACAAGACTACTCTCTTTGTGCAATGTCACTATCGGACAGCCATCCATGTTAAACCAATAAACTCTTCCCAAAGCCAAGGTTCCCTTAAGAAGATGGATAAAAGGCAGAAACTAAGAATCTATAATCATGCTAACCACAAGACATAGGCAATTCTGCAATTTGAATAAAATATATAAGAAAATAAAAAAAAGGGGAAGAAGATTTAACTCCAACATAGAAAATTCTGCTGCTCTTATAAAAGACCCCTTCACCATGGTAATTAACTTCATCATCCTTATTCTCTAACTCTGACAGTAGTCAATCTTATCAATCAGATAATTATTGGAACCTCCTCTCAATGCTGTCACCAAAATCCCTAATTTTCAACCGTTTAGACAAAAAATACTCATTTTGAACATGCAAGGCAGTTTCCTCCGCTAGTAAAAGTTAATAAATGTAAAAAATAGGTAATGATGCCAGATTTTAATCCCACTGGCAAAGAGAACTGTTCCATTGCCCAAAAAAGATTAAACTGCTGAACCAAAGTAATGATTTTATTGTGTAAAGAATGGAGTTTTAATTGCTGAGAGAAAAACAAATACCTCGAGCATTAAAAAATTATGAGCAGAAGGTAAATAAAATCGGTATGTAGCAAGATGATTTAAAAATGGGACTTTCAATAAGTAGTTCCTTTTTCCACAATAAGAAACAACCCGCAAAAGGAATAGAACAGGAAGTTTCAACCACAAGACTTGAATAAAAGCAAACAAGCAACTAACCTGTCGCCTCCTCCTGGTGTACAAAATGTACCATGAGCGGACCAGGACATAGCATGGAAGAAGAAAGCCAGCAAGCTGAAGGAAGGAAACTTCATACTGCATTGCATGACCAACAGTTAAGTCCTAATCTCTTGAACAACATGAAGAAGTAAATACTTCACAACAGCATATAACATGTTTGTCTTTGGTATGCATGATAGCTTCCATAACAGTATAACACAGCCAAACCACAAGAACAGAAACACTGATTCTGAGTAGTCACAGAAATGCATACTGCCAAGCTAACTAAAATTCAGTTCAACATTCTAAAAGTACAGTGTCATGTAAACCTGTCAATTCCCACCCCAATGAAACCTGTCCCACCAATTAAAGAGTATGATACTATGATAGGACCACACGAGATCTGAGTTGCAAGATTGTTTCAAAGAAAACAAGTTTCCATTTAAAGCAAAGCATTAAACTTGCATATCCTTGATTCAAAATAAGCAAGACAAAACATGTCCCACAAATCACAAGATCAAACAGGACGACACGGTCATCTTACAGAACTTACATGAAAAAATGTCATATACCCCTGCATCAGCCCAAAATCTCTTGTAATCATCAACACTTGATGGATTAGCAAGACAAACATCAACTGCAAAAGCAAAGCAATACATAAATATCTCAAATTTAAAAATTAAAGAAAATCGAGAATTGAATTTGGCTATAAAAGAACATGACATTGAATATAGGGTCATACAATGATAGCTATTGAGCGCAAATATGTGACATTGCCAGCATTTGCAACAGCATAATCTTCATACTCTGATTCCAGTAATTGACGCTCAGCAGCAGCTAGAGCCAAAAGATGGTGGTCAGGGAAACCAAAATGATGACCCCAAGCTTGACTGCAAAAACAGATACGCCAAGCAAGCAATTAAGAGATTAATACAGTAGTAATTCATATTAAAAAAAAAAAAGACCAAACTCTTGCAAAGCAATAAGAGACAAACTACAGGATAAAGTTTATAAATAACAGCTTCAATAATTTAGGCTTTACTCCAATTATGGCAGCTCACAAAACAGCACTAAAGAAAATGAGTGAAGATTTGCAAAACCTAGGCAACCATTAGATAATACTATAAGATAACAAAGGCGAAATCCACCACCACCACTCAGTACTAATCCCACAAACAGCATGCCCCAGGAGGTCCAAATATGCATCACCTCTAACCAGTTAAAATTGGAAAAGATAGTTGCTTCTACACTATTCAGTCTCCCTAAGACACCAAATCTACATCTTAATCGGAGAATAGAATAACTCAATAATCCAATGGGCCTGGGCTGTTATTCAATTATAAATGTAAAGCTTTTATAGCTTACTAACTAATTAATGATCAACAAGGTCACAAGACTTTGGCAGAGACGAGTGAGAAATACAGTTGCCCATTTTAGGGCTAGGTGGGATGCCGATTTGAACACTGAGCGAATTTGTATGGGTTCTTTCCCCCAAAGTTTTCAGACTTTGGCGGACCTTGATTTAGTTTAACAATGTGTCGTTCCGTCTTTCAAAAAAAAAAGGTCACAAGAATCCTTGTTCAGCTATGAAAAGCACCTATGAAATGGACCTCCTAATTAACACTAGTAATCATTTTCCTTCAATAACATTCATTTAAAACCCAAGAACACTAGAGAATGGCATTCTACCCAAGAACTGGCTTAGTGGCTTAAACCGGGGGACGAAGAAACAAAAAAAAAATCCAATGTGACCCAACAAAACATTAAAAATAACTACAGCCTTCATAGCAACCTAAAAGATGCTAGAGGTATAAGTCACTCTCCTAAAGGCCACTGCCTAGTTTAGACAGGACCGCATTCCCTACTGCTGTCATTCATTCATCAGGTACTTGTTACCCCATAATCTTCCTGATATTAGCATTAATCTAGAATGTGTTGAGTCTGTTGACTTCATAATACAGTCAAAAAGTTTCAACTTTCTATAGACGGCACATCCCAAATGTATGTCCAAAAGAAGTAATTGTACCTAACGCTGTTTGATGGAACTACTGACAGCAAAAATAGTGTGATCAGCATGAGAATATGCTCATATTTCTTGCAGAACAACTATGTATTATAACTTGGTTTGGTATGACATAATTGATGTTGAAGAGCATCGATTGAATGTGGCACATTAATCTCGTACAATAAGAGAAAATTCAACTTGGACATTCACTAATACTTTCTTTTAACATTCGACCTGAACAACTCTTAAGATAAAGACAACCAATGAAAAAGACACTTGCACAAAGTCTCCAAAATTCAGTATTACCTAAGATCAACTGCCATGACATCAGGGACAGGTTTTGGTGGGAGCGTATAATTGGGTGTAAACACCTGCAACACAGGAAACGCTCTTTCAATCATCATTTATTTTGCAACATTTCATGTTAGCAAATACAAAAAGATCAGCAATACCGACCTGATTGCATATCTCGCAGGTGATATCGCCCTTTTTGTTGCACCATTTCTGAATGCATTTCCTATGAGCAAACTGTTTACAAAGAGACCAACAATTTTAGTACCATTCCAGCAAGTACAAAAAATGTAATAGAAAGACAAAGGCGAGATATTTTATTTATTTATTTTTTTTACAAAAGATGAAATCATTTACAGACTACATTATGATCAGATAACAACTTTGGAGGGAAACAGACGAATAATAAAAGGAGGCGGAAATGGAAATCTCATCTCTTCATGAGTGACAAAAAGGAAAAGGTGTTCTTTCCATCCAAAGCTTTCAAAATAAAGGTTTAGTTTGTTAAAAAGGCATGGAAATAGATCCACATTACTTCATAAGTAAGTCTATTAATTATCTTCCATTTACAAGTGGGAAACACATACTACTACAAAGTGACAAACTTTTTCTATCTTTTATACTTTTATTTGATTTCATTCACTAAATTGATCATTGATCAAATTGTCCTTTATCCTCGTCAAATAATGACAAACACACTCATATTTCACAACAAACCGATTCACATTAGTACCATCTAGAATTCCCTTGCCTCGACTTCCCTAACTTAACCAAATTACTTTCCGAATAATGGAATTAAAAAAATGGATCCCTCCCTCTTCCTCCCCTCGAGACCCCACTATCCAAACACAATGTAATTGATGTGGGAAACAAGTAATCATGATTTTACAAGATCAGCAAACAAGTAATCATGATTTTAAGGTGAGCTACAAATCAAATTGATATTAATCTATTCAAAAGAGGGGACAAAATAGTAGAAAATGGAAGCTTAACACAGAAGAAACAATGCAATTAATAGGTTACTTCCATTATTAAACACATGAGAACAACCAGTGATCACGGAGAAAACTTTTAATATAATCCACAACTTGTTAATCATACAATCTATTTGTCAACCCTTAACAACAACTGAATACTCTTCTTGGAGTAGATATTATTAAAATTTTATATTCACTCAAAATAGATATTAAATCCACTCCGTTTTGCTTCAAAATCAAGTGGATATCGTTCAGGTAGACTCGGAAGCAGCTAGGCTTTAAAAGTCATTTAGCAAAAAAAAGTAAGAAAAATAATTCCTCATTAGCTCCAGAAGGTTAAAAAAAAGAGGCGATGATATTTTGGGATTTATGAAACAGTTCATTATTATGTTCCGTAATTAAAATTATAAGCATAAATAAACTACATGAAAAAGAGACGGTCAAGTTCAACATTAGATTTTTGGAATTAAAATTAATCAAAAATGTAAACTAATTTCAAGCTTGAAAACCCAGAAATTTAAACGGACAGAAAAAATTAATTAGTGAATTGACTAACTTCAAGCTTGAAAGCCCAGAATTTCAAACGGTCAGAAAAAATAATTAGTGAAAAAAAAAAAAAAATCTAGTAATTCAACTAATAAATTCATTTCAAGTATTTTTTTAAAAAGGTTTTTTTTTTTTTTTTTTTTATATACAAAAATCAACAAATTAAGGGGAAAATTCCAAATTCAAAATCAAAAAAGCCCAAATTGCAAAATTAAAGTAGATGAATCAATTTCCAAACAATTAAAAAAAATCAAGATACCCCAGAAACTTTGGAAAGAACAAAGAAGTTCATAAATAACTAAAAACCACTCAAATCAAAGTAACAATTTTCATACTAAAAAAATAACTAAAAACAATTATAAGCAACTATCCAAATCATCAGAACTAGATAAGAAAACAAATACAACTTCATAATTTAAAATTTAAAAAATAAAAACTTTATTTTTAGTTTGTAAAAATAAAATAAAGGGAGAGAATAAAAAGAAGAGACCTTCAAAGTACCATTACAAGCGCAAGGAGATTCCAAAGAGTGATCATCATCTTCTTCTTGACAAATCCTACACTCTTTCTGAAGCAAGCAACTTGAAGATGAACTACTAATTATTTTTTTATTATTATTATTAATTTCTTTTTCATTTTTTTTCTGATCATTTTTTTCATGAACCCCAGAATTTCCATCTTCTAATTCATTCCCAGATGAAGAATGTAAACATGCTGTGGCTATTATTCTATCCACACACACCATAAAATCATTCACCATTTTTAGAAATAAAAAAAAAATTGTAAAAAAAATTGAAGAAAAAAAAAACAGGGGAATTAAATGGAGAAAAACAGGGGAATTAAGAGGAGAAAAACAGGGGAGAAAGCAGAGAAAATGAAGTTGGGGAGTTTGGATTTCATATATAAATAATTTTTTTTTTTAGGGGAATAAAAATGGGAATAGAATGGTGCTACAAAAAGGCAGGAAGTGGGTGGTGGGAGGCGGAATTTACGAAAGTGGGTGAGTTTTTAAATTATTCATCTAATTTAATATTTAATTAATTAGCTAATTAAATTAATTGTTTGTTTGTAAATTTACAGGTTTTGGGGAGTTGTAAAAAATATCTAAAGGAAGATGGTGTTATTGGTATGGAAGATGGTGCAACAACTGCCCTGAAAAGCTGAGCTATTGTTGATTTGGGATTTGACCACTTTGATATTGGACACTACATTTTTAGATGTGGTGTGCGCCTTGTGTCATTTGTTCATTTGGTGGTTGTTCACCTAGAAAGTGTGCATATTGTTATGTTTGGATGGAGTTACCAATGGATGAAAAAAAGTTGACTCCATACGATAATCTAATCCGATTCGAGCTTAGCTCCGCAATAGGAAGAGAAGTGTGTTTGTGTTGAGAATGGTGTTTAGACAATTGAAATTTACTTAACTATTAAGTTATTAATTTAAGGTTTAAGGTTTTTCGTTGATTAGAAATAAAGATAATGTGATAGCTTGTTCTAAATTTAAATCGATGAGTAGTGTATCTAGCTAGGTTGAGATTTTAGCCATTTGGAATTAGATAAGATAGATACACTTTTAATTTTTGTATTAAACATGTGTTACCTTAGTGATATTATTGATAAGATATGAGATATGATCCTCTTAAAAAATAATGGATATGATGCTGACTGTAATAATAGGTGTAAACCGTTAACAAAATAAAAGAGAAATCCTTTTGGTATCAAGTTTTGTATGTCCATACTTGGAAGAATATCTGTAAGGGTGTGTTCTGTTCACCTTATTGGACCTGAACTTATTAGACCTTATTGAACTTATTAGACTTGATTGAAATTAATAGAACTTATTAGACCTTTTTAAAATTTATTGGACCTTATTAGGCTTTATTATTTGAACTTAGGGTGTGTTCTATTCACCTGATTTTCACTAATTTGAACTTTTCTTAACTTATCTGAACTTATTAGACCTGAAATGAGTGAAAATAAGGTCAACAGAACATGCCCTTATTGGAACTTATTAGAACTTATTAGACCTTATTTAAGTTTTTGAAACTTATTACTCCCTCCGTCCCAATATATAATTCTTGTCTGTGTTTTTTCACGGTATTTAAAAAATGGGAGGCAAAAGTGGATGAAATACATAAAAAAATTAAAATAATTAAAATAAAAATTATAGACAAAAGTTAGAAAGGAGAAAGTAAATGAAGTACATAAAAAAAGGTAAAAAGTACAATTATAGACAAAACTTAGAGAGAGAAAGTGGAAAAAAGTACAAGGCCAGTGAAAAATTTAAAGATAATTTAGGAAGTACAATGAAATAAAGTTGAAAAAAAATGAGGGTATAATGATCTTTATATATTATCCAAAAATAGAAACAAGAACAACATTTTGCATTTCCAAAATTTAAAAACAAGAACTATATTATGAGACGGATGTATCTTATTCAACTTATTAGATCTTATTAAACTTATTGGACCTTATTGTAACTAATCTAAACTTATTTAAACTGATCTAAACTTATTAAACCTGAAACTTATTTTTATAAGATGAAGAGAATATGCCCTAAAAGTAACATATACAAAGTATTTCTACAAAAAATAGGATTTATATCAATATACTATATTTCGTACATGAGAAAATTGACTTTGCTACATGACATTTCTCTTTCATTCATCGAACTCATTTGGAATGAAAATTTGAAAGCTTGGCCACGAGCCCAATATAATTTCATTTAACATTTCTATGTAGGTACTCTGTAAAATGATGAAGTTTCATGAATGCATCCCTTTAAAATATCTACATAATCAGTTAGACCTCAACATTTTTGAAGTAACATATTTTATTACTCGATTCAAGAAAACAAAAAAAAAATTAAAAATAAAAAATATAATAAAATAAAATAAAAATAAAAATAAAATTCCATTTGGATTCTTCAATTCGAAGAGAAAAATATTTAATCACATACTTTTTTTGAAACCTTAATCACATACTTTAATAAGGTAATTTTAGTCATATTTAGTACTTACTATATAAATAGTGAAAAAGGTAAAATGTGTCAATTATTCAATAAAAGGGGAAATATTTTCTTTTTTATTATTGAAATTACATATTTAGACATTTTAAACAAAATCCTACTCAGTACGATTATTTTACTCCGTACGACTAAATTAAGTTTGAAATAGAAATTGAGTAACCCATTGATATGTCAAATTGAGTCATATATATATTTTCTATTATTAAAAAAGCCATGATAGTTGAATATGAGATATGATGTTTTTAGTTTTTAGTACTAAAAAAAAAAGGAAAAAAAAGAAAGAAAAAAAAAAGGGGTGTTTTTTTCCATGTTCTCTGATGTGGATCTCTCAAAACTCTCACAAGGCTCGCAAGCTATAATAACATTGGATATTCGGATTTTAACAAGAACTAAAAACATTACACGAAAATTAAAACGATTGTAATCTTATTCTCGCAAGAACAGAGGGTCTCTTCCTAGTCGCAACTAGAAGATGATAACAAGTCGCAACTGTTTCGGGGTTTTTTGGATGTCCTGCGCGAGAGTTACAACACCAACACTAGCCTCTGGACGCATGTACCTGCAAAACAATGGAGACTCCTGTGGGTGGGAGTTCCGCCTCCGACGATCAAGTTAGAACGTGTTTGGACGTAAAAAGAGCGGAAAGTAAAGGGGATCAGGCTCCTCTTAGGAGAGAAGTGATCATCCAGCTATCTGAGATAGCCTCGAAATCCGAGCCTTAGCTTTCAAGTAGTGTAATTAAAGCTGGAGTTATGCTCATCAATTAATGTACACCTGTGTTTGGGAATTTCTGAATGTGTCCCATGATGGGAACATCTCCCTATTTATAGGGTCTCAAAATGCGTGCCGCCATCCTAGGTTACGGAAACCTAGGAATGGTGGGCTTCCTTAGGAATTGGCCAGATGCCATTCTTCCCAATCAATGGGGATGCCACGTGTCAGCAGGGGATTGGTTCTCCGGGAACCTCTCCTGAAGTGACACGTGTGACCTCCCTATTGGACCACGTGTCCAGGGTAAAAATACCCAAAACATTTGCCCCTCACAGGTGTCACGTGGCACCAGTGACACCTGTCAGGCGGCCATTGGAGGACGGTATTTAACCGTTGGTATTCTAGGGAAATTACGGGGATGCCCCCTGAATTACCCTTCTATAAATAGATTTTTTACCCCTCCCTTTTTGATATTTTCAAAACCTAGAGAGAAAGAGACATCCGTTTTTAGAGAGATAAACTCTGCCGACCGCCTGTATACCTTGCAAGCAGCTGCTTTCATTTCTCTACTCACAACCGGTACATTGACTGGGTAGTTTGCAAATAGTTATTCTTTTTCAAAAGGGTACATCCTGTTATCTCTTCTTTAGAACCACTTGTGTACCTTTCAAGCAAGCTTTGGCATTTCAAGTGGGTACAACCGGTCCCCCGCCTGAGCATCTTGCAAGCCATTGTTCAGTTTCCGCCTGTCATTTCAGTCGATCACCGCTTGACTACGTCGCAGCTCATCTCATAGGTACTGCTTCACCTCTTCTTAACTCTTTTATATATTTCTATTTGTGTACATTTTGTTCCATTAATGGATTCACCAATAGCACACACGGCACAACGTAGTTTAGAGGGCGGCCGGTCCCCAAGTACGGCTGAGTCTGAACGGGGGGAACTGCATCTGGGTGCCTGGATCACTCTTGCTCATCTCCCAATCCGACCGTCTCCGTGTCTGTACAGGACACTGTGGCTAGGACTAGGAAGACGGTTGTAGATCCGGAGTATAGGGAGGAGAGCACCGAAGAAGGGCCGCCTGAGGGAGATTAGGCTGAGATGGCAAGAGGATCCTCCATGGGCACACCCAGCACACCCAATGATGGGATTCTAGAGTCCGAAAATGGAGACAGAGGAGAGGCTGCCTCTGTGTCTGGTCCGGAGGAGGCGGGTGGAAGTGCCTCTGAGAGAGACGGGAGTGAATCTGCCTCTGGTTTTGGCTCAAGCAGCTCTCTAACTCTGGATGTGGATAGTGAGGAAGAGGAGAGGCCAACATGGAATAATAAAGGGCATCCACTTATAATCTATATTTCTGCCAAAGACAAGGCAAATATGGAGAGACATCTAGAGATGGTTAAACTTAAGCGTCCTCTGGGTGTGGGTTACACCATCTGGGTGCCGCCTGAGTTTGGGACAATAGCCTGGAATGACGACCATTCAGGCGCCAATAAATATTTCGGCTGCTATGAGGCGACATTTTTGGCGGGGCTCCGTTTCCCCCTTCATATGCAATAAAGGATATCCTTAGAGGATATAGCCTAGGTGTGTGGCAGTTAGCCCCAAACTCCTGGGCTAACATTTTGGGTTACATCGCCGCCTGTGAGATGCAGGGTCTCCATCCCGGTTGGGAGGCCTTTGCCAAGATGCACTATCTAAGCCGAAGTCCAGGCGGGTGGAGGACATGGTACACCTTAACCACCTACCCGAAATACCTGATGACCCTAGACAAACCTTCTAAGTGGTCAAACTGGAAAACCCGCTTCTATCTGGTTTCTGCCCCCACTAAGCGGGAAAACTTTGAACTTCGCACATACAATCGAAAACCTGACCTTCTGGGACAGAAGTGCAAGTTGCCTCAAATCCCGGATGAGGATTATGAAAAAATAATAGAGGCGGGGTTTTTTTGAGCTTACAACCACCACCCTCTCAACCGGAGAATCAATTAGTGTACCCAAAAATTGGGTACCTAAACACGAGTATTTCAGGGACGAGGCGTTTTTGTCCACTTATGGGTTGAGCACCCAATTTAACAGACGTATGTTGATAGCTTTCCCGGCTATGTTTTGTCGTCTCTATCTTTTGTAACTTGTGTTTTTCTTGCTCGATGATCTAACAGACGGCTTTCTTTTGCAGAAACTACACTTAACATGCTTCCAGTGGACAAAACGCCTGCTAAGTCCGCCACAGACATCCGCAAGGAGAATGCGGAGAAGAAAAGAGCCGCGCAGGCGACTAAAAACAAGGTATTTATCACCTGACTTAACTTCCAATTTACTGCTTTATTTCTTGGTGTACAAATGGTGATAAACCGTTTGTATAGTTTGTGCCTAGTCCCAGCTTTATGCCTTTATGTCTAATTTCTGACTTGTTTTCTAGGAGGGAGACAGG